CCCCCCCCCCCCCCCCCTCGTAGTTCTATTTTCCTTAGTGTAACTGCTTCAAAATATTGACCGTACAGATTTTCAGCTGTTGACTCTGAATGGTACTCCTCCACTGCAGTTGAGAGACCAGGTGGTAAGTTGAACATAGAGACCGTCTCTGGACGCATACAAGCCGCTAGTCAGTAAGATTAATAATGTTTTATCAACCATTCTGTCAAAGGATGGTTGCTCACAGTAGTGTGGTTTGCTGTACAGTGCAGGCTTTAAGCTTCACAGGCTAACTCGTTCTCGTGGCCTTGCGCTGTAAAGAACATCGGCTTGATGCCCCTCATGTCAATGTTGATTATTTTGGGAAAGATTTGACCGTCTCATTTGTTTGGGTGACTTTTGCATACAGTATTATAGTTGTTTCCAGGTGGTGGTGCCTCATAAAACCAGCTTTAACGTTTAGATGTAACCATATCCATGCTCATTCTAAAGGGCCATAGGTGTATATAGCAGCGCCGACATATCCAGTGCAATGTAAACAGTGTCTATTATTACAAAATATTTTTACATGGACGTAACCGCTACGCTTTGTTCTCTTTTACCTTTCAATGACATGTAAAGGCCTTTAGAAAGGGAGACAGAGAGCCATAGAAATACACGTCGAATCAGGAAATGGATGAAACCGTAACAAATATCGATGCTTTTGGAGATTGATCTATTGTGAAAAAAAAAAAAAAGTAATGTAAAAAATTTAAGACAATTTTTTTTCTGCGATTTTGAATAAATCAGCTTGATCCACTTTGATATTAATAATTTTACCCAATCCTTTTTGTACATTGAGAGTCAAGAAAGTAAATATTTTTGTTCCTGTTGGTTTGTGTTTGATAAAGGTAGACGTGTTGAATACATTAGGAAGTGTTAAACATGTTTGTCTTGTGAAGTAAATGTAAATTCTACGAGTCAATGGGAATGTCAATATGAATCCTCACTGTGTTTTAAAGTTATAAGGAAACGAAGGAGAGGGGAGGGGTGGAAGGGTCAGACGGACTGGAGGAGCTTTTTTAGTTCTATAAGAGTGACCAAAGCAGCGGAGAAGAAAAAAGATTTAACAAACGAAAAGAAGTATTCAAGCAGTTACATTTTAAGTAGCAATTATTATCCAACTTCTAGTACTTCATCTTTTTTTTGAAAGGTATCTTTTGTAAATGTCCAGGCTTTGGATCCCGTGTATATTGCTGTGAGGATTTACTGGTCACTTTAAAATATAGAAAACGTAACAAAAAAAAAAAAGTTGAGCCTCCGCGTGAAAGTAAATCTACCAGAGCGTGATGGAATTGCACTACCCTCATACTGGTTGATAAAGTCTATTTTGTATAAAATACATGCAAATATCTTTAAAGATTAAGGGCAGATCATGTTTCACTGGTACATATGGCTATGGCTTTCATTGGTCTGTTATGTTCGTATTTCAGTTATGTAATTGTAATCCAATGTAAAAACAAACAAAAGATATAAAATGTTTGTTTAAAAAAAACAAGTTTGTTTTACTTCTGTATTACACCTCTTCTGTAGTCAGTGTCGATATTTTCACCTATTTGATTAAATGTTGAATTAAGTTATCTGTGTGGTTCTTTGACATTGGATTTGACTTCGTGTTGAAAGTGGAGATTCGGAGGAACTGATTTCTCTTTAGTTCAAACATCTTACACAATAAAGTTTCCTATTTTTCAATGCTCACCTCCAGTGGTTTTATTTTTTCTCTAGATTTAAGTTGTTAAAAGTAGCATGGAAATGTTGAGGATTATACCAAAGTGTAAAAATGGAAAATCTAAAGCAATAGTTGGTTATTTCGGGAACGTTCTGATACTTATAGTATGTTATAAAATACAAAAATGTCATTGTATAGCATGTCATAGTATAGTCCGCATACCATCGTCTTTAATAACATTTTTCTATGTCATCCTACATTTAAAGTATAGTGTGTGATAATAACAATCGGGGTGTATTTTTGTAAAGAAAACATTTAAAAAGTCAGAGTATAGTTAAATTAAAAGTATAGAATGTCAAATTAAGTCAAACCAAATTAAAAATATAGTACGTAAAAAAAGTCAAAGCATAGCATGTCAAAAAAAAGTAATATTACAGCATGTCAAAAAAAGTCATAGTACAGCATGTAAAAGAAAGTATGTCAAAAAATGTCATAGAATACAATGTCAAAATACGTATTAACTCATATATAGCATGTCCAAAAATAGTCATAGTATGTCGATAAAGTCATGAAAAGTCATCACAATACCTCTTAGTATATAGTATCTCAAGTCATATAATAGTAAGTCAAAAGTTAAGCTATAATACTTTTTTGACATACTAAAGTATTAAAATGTCATGGTATAGCATGTCGAAACAAGTACATGAAAAGTCATATCAAAAAATCATAGTATGGCATGTCCAAAAAGTCACACTATAAAAATTTGAAAAAGTCATAAAAAATAATTTTAAAAAGTCACTGAATGTTTTGTTGAAATAAGTAAAAAGTCATAGTATAGCATGTTGAAATAATTCATATTATAGTATGTTCAAATAAGTCTAAAAAGTCATAGTATAGCATGTAAAAAAAACATTTTAGTAATTAAAAACAATAAAAAAGTCAGTACAGTATTGTGACGACCCTCTCTGCCTGTTACTCAGTTTGTGTGGCTGACTTCCCTGCAGGTGTTGGAGGTGGGCGTAGCAGAGGGTCATCAGCAGAGTGGAAACACCTGAGCTCATCGGCAACACAAGTGGCGTGAATTTGTGTGCGGAACCACATGCAAGTTGAACTGCATGGCACAATTTGACGTTTGTAGCTGCTCGTTAATCCGTTTATTGCTGCGATTCCATAGAAATTGTTTTTGTATATTTTGGTAAAGAATGTCACTGTTGTAGATGTCGGTGTGACTTATTCAACACCGCAGTCACATTCAAATACAAAGGAAACTGCAACATGTGTGAATACAGCCAACGTATAGACATTCAGGCACTTCATTTAAAAGAAACCACCAGAAGCCCCAGCTGCAGCTGTTGAACATTAATCTTTATTCTGCACAATCTTGTCAATTCACCAAAACATCTGAAAGAATATTTAAGGCTGTAGATAGACTTAAATGGTACAAAAAATCTGGGCAACAAAGAAAACGAAAAAATTATGAAATTAAGTTAGTATGCTAAAAATACAAAATATAAAATTTCATAATTAAAAAAACATACCTTATCAAATGCTGTGTATATATTTACAATGACAATAAACACCTCAAAATGAATACAGTTCAAGATTGAGTCTTTAAGAAACTCTCATAAATAAGAAGTTCAGATATAAACAAAGTAGTCTCAATTCACATTTAAGTTTTTTTCTTTACCCTCCCATTTTTATTTTCCTGTTGAAATGCTAAAACAGTCTTTCAATACTCTGTCCTACAATCAAAAGCTTTGATGCAGATGTTCACCAAGTGGTTTAAGGAAAAAGTTCAGCTTTGATTAATGAAACGAGGACTTGAATTGGAGCCCCAAAGCAGACCAGCGTGCATAATATACATATAAGCAATTCTAATAAATGGATGTTTTCTCTTTTGTTTAAATGCCTGAGCTTCTCTGAAAGCCACATCTGCATTTCCTTTACTTATACATGAGCTTTTTGAATGTCAATGTCAGATAATTACATTATTAGCATTGTCTTGCGGTTCTACATAAAAATAAATAAAAATGGAAAAGACCGTTGTGTTGCGTGCATGACGTGAATAGCAAATGTTTTTTGTATTTTTAGTTTGTTTGATCACTCCATGCTGTTGAAGATTAAATAATCTACAGCGAAGCTACTGATTGAATATGCACGATGGTTAAAATATGATAAATCATATGTATTTCTGAAACATCAATGGTTTGGTTGACGGGTGCTCTGTGATGGTGCAAACGTGACTCAACACCATATAAGTGATGGATCCAATTATTTTCAACAATTAAAAAATATCCAAGCTAGAGAAGCAGTGCGAGGCCTCACAGCTGGCCTTGTTCTAACCAGCAGGAATGACGTATTACTCCTACGCTGCATTGTAAACCACCGATCTGCTCGTGGAGCTTGTTTGAGATTTTCCACATTTTTTGATCTGAAGGGAGGCACAATGGATAAGGATAAACCCAACGCTGACCTTTTGGCGAACCGTTTTCAAGGTAACCTCATCCTGAGATGATCTGCCCCGGGGCTCCTGCTGCTGAACCAGAGCTCTAAAACATTAGCGGGGTTGAGTCTCGTCCTGGGGAATTACCGGACCGCCACAGCAAGTGCTCATGAACAAATGTACAGCCGTGCAACCAAAAAACCCAATCATTTAAAATCGGCCTTAAAAAAGCTCCGGTCCCTCAATGGGAATAGCAATCATTCAAACGGCGCACAGTGAGGACGTGAACAAGCAAGTCCAAAGTTAAAGGCCGCTTGCTTTTCAACCGCTTCCCTTGTCATCATCTCAACAAGAAGCTTTTCAATATCTGGCTGATAAAAAGAGGAGACTCTGAAGCAATGGCAGTGCAGTTTGAAGTAATAAATCAAGGGCTGAAAAGCCTTACATCTCAGAAATATCAACTCATTTGTACATGTGATCCCTCCCCCCACACTCCCACACCACATCCTTTTCCCCCAGGACTTGGGAAGTCTTCCACACTAACCTAGTAACAGTGGGACTCATCTTTACTTCTTTTTTTTCCAGTGCAATTCATGGGTCTCTCCTTCGGTCCTGCGTCATATCTATTCCATAAAGTTCTGTTTTGTCCAGTTTTATTTTCCAGTCTAGTCCAGACACGAGAGGCCTCATCGACAATGGTCCAGTCCTTAATGATATATATGATCTAATAGCTAACTCCAGCCCAGTATCATGCAGTCTTTTTTTGGCCCTGAACTATAAAAACTCCACATAGTTTTCTGGTATCAATCCTGTTCGGCCGTCCAGAGTTCCCTCCAGCCAACCGGGCTCCCTGGAGACATGAACTGGAGAGAGAGAGAGATAGAAACACTGATTTTGTTTAAAAACATCTCAGGAAAAATATCCATAAATATGTGGGACAAACATGTGCATAAGCACACGCGCAGATAGTGTGAGAGAGAAAGATTGTCTCCTAAACCACATTCTTCCAAACGGCAATAACTGAAAACAGTGCAGTCAACATGTTCCTCATTATCTGAATGTTTCATATCTAATGATTGTGAGCAGACATCTCTGGCAGCAACACCACACATCAATAGCTGCTGATAAGTGACCGTGAAATATGTCCCTGAATGAGAGACGTCGACGCCAGACATGGGTGTTTCCTACATTATCAACCATTTTCATCAGCTGCAGATGAGGGTGATAGCTAGCTACTGTAAGGAATGAAAGTTTATCATTTTGATAAAAAACGATTATGGTTATGTTTTATTAAAAGCTGTGATTTGCTATTGAGGAGTGTACTGAATTAATTACATCATATTAAAATTGTTAGGTAACTGCAAATCACTTGTCTTTGTCCTCTCAAATCTCTTTTATAATTAACGTATGGCGCTTCATTGGTCGGCTTTGACTGTTTATCAGAAAAGTGCATGATACTACATACCACTGTCTGCAGCCTACGTAATGCAGTGCCAAATAAGCCACAACCTGTCTAATCTAAAGCGCTGCTTAAGTTCAATGCACTTTTGTTTTGATTTTGGAAGAATATAGGTTATGTTATGTGTATTTGACATTCCTTAAACCCGTATAAATTGTTTGTTTTTTTGCCATTTTGGGCCTGAGTAAGAAGCTGTAAACACAGCATTGAATTATTATTACGGCTTTAAAAAGTTGATATGGCCAAGTCCATCATTCACTCTTATTTCAGCTCTTTTTTGGTCTCCACCACCTTCTAAGCTGCTAAATAAGTCCACTGTAGCATAGTGTGAAGCAGGAAGAGGGGCTGTTAACATACGGTAGGTGCGAGCTGTAAGTATAAGCAAGTTGACGCTGAAGTTGAGCTTATACAAAGACATGTGACCGCAAACCGCATTTAGATTTGAGGGAGTACATGTCCTGACTAATACTGCAGGTACTGACATGTATGAACTACAATAACATAATTAAGCTAATTGTGTTTTGCTGTGGCGTGCAGTATATTGTAGATCCACTAAACAAGAAGACTTCTGGCAAGATATGGCCAGAAAACAGGAAGTTAAAAGGAACGTTGATGCAAAAATAAATTGTGTGTTCACCACATGTTGTCCTCACAGGGAATGTAACTCACAAATGCTGCAGACCATTCTACCACATGAAATAAAGACACACACACACACACACACACGTGAACTTAACATGAGACAGTCCACAAGGTTTTTCATCTGATTTTCATGGATCCTCTTGATTTTAACAAAGTATGAATCAAAACTGTGGTATTATTCTGTATAAAAGCTACGATAAACAGGTTAATGAATTGTCTTTTAAAAGTATTCTAATGACAGCTCAAAAGGTCTTATGAGGCTGCGGTGTGAGATCTGTGGGGACAGCCGTCCTTGGTTAAGACGTGAGCAGACGGGGGTGTTGAGATACCACTGTGGGGATTACATGTCCCCAAGGTCACACTTTGGCTCTGATGACACCGGTCTGCACTACAATAAAGTCTAAACGTAGCTAACTCTATTTAGGGTATGGGGGTCCAAGAGACCATGTGTCAACTAGCATGACTAAAAGAGTGCACCCCTACCATTCCTGAGCGGGTGTGTCGGTTTTCATGCAGATTTAACCTGCGGGGCTTTAAAACGTACCAGAACAATTAAGTTCTCCGGTTATTCTGCCTGATGAGTGAAGTACAACCTAAGTGGTTTTATCCTTAAATGTGTGCAAATCTGTTATTCATTAGGAGAGTTGAGCTAAAACAATCTGTGAGGAGATAAATGTGATTTATAGTGTTGGGCTGGAGGTTGGATTGGCTGTAATTAGACTGCAGAGGAGCATGAGACTGTCTGTAGCGAGATTCATACGCAGATGGGAAAGAAAGAAAAGAAAGGCATTAAAAAGTACAAATAATATTTTTAAATAATTGACTGTGTCCTTTGTGTGTGTGTGCATGTAGAGTTACTTTCATATGTATATACTATATATATGCATTCAAAATCAATGCATCGCTCTTAAGTACATCCGTTATACTCCAGTGTGCTTGCCAGCCTCTAATATTCTCTGAAGCAGTGTGCATTAAGAGCAAGTGCACATCCAAGCTTATTTATATGATATACCAATAATTAACTGCAAGGTGTCAACTAAAAAGCTTCTTTGTGCAACTGCAGTGCATCTTCCTCTTTCCTCCAACACAAATAACACACTTTATTAAAAGCAAAAATTTAAAGGAACCTTTTAATATAATTGTAAAAATGGTAGCAAAAGGAGATGTGGTTCCAGTTAAAATTTTCGGGGAAAAATCCCTCGACTACTTGGATTATTTGAAACATATTTTCAACCCCAACAAAAACCAACCAACTCACGATCTGACTTTTCCTTTTGACAGTGTATTCTCTTTTTTTTTTTTTTTCAAACACCAACCCACATTCTGCTGTCAAGTCCAGAGCCTGACTCACCGTTTTCAAAGATGGTCCCTGCGATGAAGGACAGCTCAGAGTTGTGCTCTGCCTTGCAGGCATATAGTGCTCGAGCCTTCCTGCCCGCAACACTGGAGACAATGAAAGAGTGAGAGTGAGACAGTAGGTGAGAGTGAGACAGTAGATTCTGGGCTGATTTAGGGGGAAAAACAGACGACTTTCAGTTCGAAACAATGCTTAAATTTAGACACCTCAAATCACACAAAGACCATTACTTCATGCAAACTGCTTTATATGTACTAAGTAGCTGAATTCACACAAATGATAAAAACAGCATACTATTCTAGCAGTTTGTACTGATTTTGCCAAAATGTAGTATGCAGTATGTAAACAAAAGCAAAATCGACAGTATGCAAAAAATACTCAGATGCCATACTGATTTAGAAAAAAATCTTCACTATGCATCGGAGCAGCCTACCTGGCCTACTGTAGCCCCCCGAACAAGACAGTCTATGGCCACAGCATCAGTCGTGAAATACAGCAAGTAGTTTCCCGGTGCAAAGACAGTCTTTTAATGCTTCACTGTGATTAGTGACAGTCTGTGATTAAACCATTACACAAACAATGTGGACCGACCTGACAGGGGAAGAGTCACTGGAGGCGGAGGATGTCGGCTGCGGACTTGATGGGGCTGAGAACATGGGCCAGGAGGGAGAGCGTGGTGAAGTGGGGCTGGGAGACTTTGCACTGGAGGACACATACACGCAAGCGATGTCATTGTTATAGCACTGGCAGTATTTATAGAACAAAACATGTATTATTCTCAGCTGCGGCTCCAATTAAAGGTGTGTTTTTCTTACCTGCTTGGTATGCTGCCACGACTCTTTGGGTTCAGCCTGGAAACACAAGATGAAATAAAAACCCAGATGAAGTTTCCATCCAAATGAATGAGCCATGAGGTGAAGTACTAAATGGTTCTCGACTTGTAAAAACAAAAGAAAGCTATTTTAACTAACCTCATATACATTTTTGACATTATGTTTCAAGAGAGATGATGTTACTTAACAAGTATTGCACAATTTGCTGTCAGGACATTACTTTTGTCAAAGTGTGGCTGAACCACAACAGGAACGCTGCAGGCTGTGAAACCAATACAACAAGCTTCAGGGGACATAAGTGCGTCACTATCAGTGACTCCTTTCACATTATACCGTCCATAGCCATTTATCCGTTGTTAATATACAAATATTGATTAGAGCAGCATTAAGGTATATCATTTGAAAACTACAAAGGTAGAACATTACTCTATTACTCTGCCAGTGTCAGGTTTCTCCCTTTACATGTTTTGCAGCACATATGTGAGTCGGGGCATTAGTGTGTTTCTTTCCTCTTATCCACCACTGATGTACAGAACATCAACTCGTTCATAATGGAGCCCTTTTTATAGCATCGACTTTCCCTTTTTTGATGACGTGAAATGTGTGTTGCCATAGTGACACTGCTATATCCTAAAGCCAGATTTGGGATAATCCCGGTCAGTCTCTCTTTAGGGATAAACGCACTGTCCACTTCAATGACCACAGTTAATGCTATACGACACGTTCAATGACACAAAGAGGAGAAGTGATGAATGCATTATGCTGCGAGGAGTCGATCTGCTGATGCCAACAATGCACTTCTGTGGATAATATTAACTCTGCAGTGGCATCGCATGTCATCAAGTGACAGATATAGACCGAGTGATGGATTTGAGGAGGAACGTTCATTCTTAACCTTGGAAACAGCAAAACTGTCACCACACGGTCCAATCAGTGGCTGGTTTGGAGCTTTAAAGAGTTACTTTGCTCCTAGAGCATTTTGCGACTCTTGGAAAGACTATCAACATTACAAATATTACTGTGTAAAATTAATATTTGGGTTGAAATACTCAACATGAACATTACATTCTGTTGAGCTTCCACTGTCAAAACAAATAAAGGACTCCACTGTGGGTACACGAGGTCCCAACATGGCTGTGCTATATGAACTAGTTGCTTAAACCCAATGAATGCGGTGTATGAATGGGTGTGAATAGTTAGTTAGAGTACTAATGGGCAGGTGGCACCTCGCATGGTAGCCCCTGCCATCAGAGTGCGAACGGGTGAATGATGACATGAAGTGTTAAAGTGTTTTCAGTGGTCAGAACACCAGAAAAGTGCTATTCAATTACAGTCCATTTACCATTTGGTCCATCTATCTACTGTGATTACACGTCATTGAAGTTAGACTCGTTCCAAGCTCAGGGAATAGTGTTTATCTACAGTTGTCTAATCTAATTTTCAAATTGGCAGATGACATAATGATGTAAACTATAATTCATCCTTCTATCCGACCAAGCTCCGACCTAAAGAAAAACCTAATAAAAGGTTTCCTATTTATTCATTAAACTGTCAGTTTGAGTGACATGCTCTCTCCATTGTCACCCACTGCTCGTCTGTCAATGTGCTTTGTCTCATCGATGTCACTCCAACTCGTTCTTCTTCTCTGCCTCCTTCCAAGCTCCTTCCTTGAATAGATAAATCAATAGTTTTCCTCTTTTCAGATAGAACATTTACAGGCATGGTGCACAAAACAAAAAAGTATAATAAAAGCAAGTTACAAAGAAAATCAACTTGTTTCAGGTGGATATACTCTCCCCATCAGACTCGCAGCACATTTAACAGTACATATCACTTGTCTCTCCACACTCCTCCCTAACAGGCCATCAATGCACTGTGCTACAACACACCCACACACTTACTAACACGATCAAAGTCACACACTTCCATCTCATTACAAGTGAAATCATGTGAAAGCTGCCAACGACAGCATGAATCTAAAATGTATAGACAATACATGTAAGGAATAATAAACCTTTTTCAAGCCTTGATACTAAAAACAATAATCAAAGCTAAATTTAATTTTTTTGCAACAACAGCATGCAATTAGTGTGGTCCTGTTGATCACAAACGCCATGTCCTTTCAAGTTGACAAGGTTTGTGTTTATGACATTGGAAACATCCCTTAAGTAGGATTGCATCATCTGTTGCTTAACGCCGTTCGCAAAATAAATCTGCATGACCTGCAAATATCAAGTTGGGTTTCCAAAAATATTTCAATAATGAGCATCATGAATTGTATTTTCTGCGGTTGTCAAAGAGGCGTCATTGAGCCCAGCATTCCCTCTCTCTTCTCAAAATGAGAGCAAGATGCTGTAAATTACAGCAATACAGAGGACAGGCGACTGTGCTGCTTCTTTCCTCAGTGTGTACGCCTATCCATACGAATGAGGACATGAATATAATGATGACATGGTGCCACTATAGAGACGCTGACAGTGTCTCATCTTTCTACGGTTCAGGTGAACACTGTTACGACAATGGAAGAGAGAACCTCACCTTTTTTGGGCCTTTCATTCCTACTGCCCTCTGCTTCCCAGCTAATGCAATCTTAAAGTTAAATTCCTTGTATGTGTACACATAGCTGGCCAATAGAGCTGATTATTAAAACTTCACCCATGTTTACCTGCTGTCTTGACAATTTCAGTGTCACAATTTCACAGCACTAATTCCATCAGTCCAACAAAAGAGTCACGTCATTCTGAGTTTCTCTTCTCTGACAGAAATATCGTTTGCATTCAGCAAACACCAGCTATTTTTTTCATGTTATTAATATTGTCCAGCCATCCCATTACTGGTAAGTGTCAAATGCGCAAATCTTGAGTTCCATCGACGGCAGCTTAACGTTAATTGGGGAAAAAAACAGAAAAGTGGAGAAACTGGAATTAACAGCTGATTGAAACTGGTGTTTCTTTTGAAGTGGTGACACAAGCTTCTATATGAGAGTTTACAGTAGTTTTATAGGGTTACTCACTTGTTGATTAATGTATCTGTTAGTTGAATAACATTGATCAGTTATTTATGGGGAGTTTTCATCCTCATCATCATCCTAACAGATGAAGTTGTAACTCATAGCCACACTTGTGACTGTGCAACTTGAGATGGCGGTCGGCATTGCAGGATCTCATGACCGATTAAATCGTTTTACAGCGTTGCAGATGGGAGGGCAAGCAGCTGTGGAAGGTGGAACAGAAAATGTAGGAGGAAGTCTGTCCAGAACTTGCTCTGATCTGGATGCCTCTGGCAAAATAAGAAATGTCCAGTGTCATCAGGGTTGCCATTTCAAAACTTAGGTTAAATACCCCCCCGAGGGACTATTGTAAGGGCTCAGAATAATATTTGAAGGTCTAAGAGCAGGAGAGGGTGACATATTATGTCTGTATTGTGCAGAAGGCAAAAAAAGGAAGGAAAATATCAAGAAGCAACAGCAGAGAAAACAGCAGAGAAGAGCCACATAAACCTGGTGACTGGCACTGCATGTGTGATTGTAAATGTGTGCTTTGGGGAGGAAATAATTCCTTGAGAGGTTTTCTTAATGCTGCTGTCACATCTTCAAAAATTCTCAAACCGCCATTATTTGGATAAACTGACCACATATTGGGAATCTTAACAGTCATATTATCAGCCTTCAATAACAAAACCGCACAGTACAAGTTGTGTATTTAAAGTGAAGAAGGGAAAAGAGAGGCATTATCAGCACAATGTACTTACATTTTCTTAGCTTCTGTTCAAGGTGGAGCTTTTCATTTATAATGCTGGATAGTTAAATTAATAATAATTAATTATATTCTATTTATTTTGTGAGGAAAATCTGAATCTGCAATGTAAACAGTCTCTGCCTCAGGTACATTTAGAACTACAATGTTTTGTCGATAGCTTTATTATGAGGACTTGGATGTGTGACGCAACTATGTTAGGCTCTTGACCTCAGTGAAGGAGTTTGATGTTTCAAGGCCAAATTAATGAATTAAATCAGATAATAAAATAATCTCAGATAGACATATTCATAAAACAGCACAATAAGCTTTAGACATACAGTTAGCAGCAATACACACCCTATTTATCTATACGAGAGTCTGGCTTATTACATCGACCAACGTTGTCTGAGATGTTCTTTACTTCCCCCTCAAGTTAGATGGATTTCATTACTCTTTGGTTTCATCTCTCTTTCAGTATTTGTGCCAAGATGAAGCTGAAACCTCTTTGTACAGAACAAACACAGTGAGACAACACACAATGTGGGACTTGTGTTTGCTTAAAAAGCACAACCTGATTCAACTCACTGAATCTATCCTGGCCTTGACAGCTCCAATGAGATTCACATGTCACTGACTACTCCAGCCAGAAAGTGTTGGTGACTCATCACCTCTACCTTTAAATCTAAAATAAAATCCTCGGCTGTGTCTGTTCCCACTGAGCTGGGTGATTTTTAAATCAGACATTGCCCTTTTTTCCCCCATGTAGTCATATTCCAAGTGCAAAAAGCATGAGGCTTTTCATCTGATAAAATGCATGTCTAATGTCTAAATAGGCTGGGGCAGAGTTAATGAAAGGAAAACTGTTTCAACTCGATCACACTTGCGTACATATACAGTACCATACATATATGAAAGGGCAACATGTATTAAACACTTGACAGCACACTATTCCATAGTGAGGGGGAGAAGAAAACAGAAAAAAGGATGAAATCCTGTGAACATTTCCTGTCATGAATCATTGATGTGACTCATAAAGGGAAGAATCTGAAAACTTTCCTGTCTTCCTTTTGTTCTCCGTGCTCTTGAAGCTCTCTTTAAGTTATGGATGACACATCTCTTATGTCTTTGCATAACGCCCTGAGGTGAACCCTGACCGTGGTTCAAGAAATGCAAAAATGACCTAGCTAATTAGTACAACAAAAAAGTGTATCCTTTATCCCCATCAAGTTCTGACTCCGCACATACCTCACAGCTCATTTTGAAAGGATCATAACTCTTCAACTTATGTGACATTTTAAGGATGAAGCTGCTTGTCAAGAGGTTCATATGAATATTTTTTTACTAGTCAATGTACACTGTTACACACATAGTACAAGCAAAAGTTGAGCAATATGTGAGTATCCTCTACAGCTTTTCATGAATGAGGCTGGATTTTCACACTTCACTTCACTAAGCGAATGATTTGAATAGATTTCTACGAGCGTGATGGAGGTTTAATCATGTTGTTAAATTGATCACATCAGTCAGATTACGACCTGATGTCCTCCGTCAGTGAAGGGGGTCCTGTCACTGTACAGACACACATGGAAAGTAATAAATAACTGTGACACAGAATTCACATCTAGAGGCGAGTACTCAAATGAAAGCCGGATCATGTAACAGCTATCCCCTAGTGAGAGATTAAAAGAATGAGGATGAAGGAGTACGGTAAAGGAGAGGGAGTCGAGGTGGCAGTGGGGAGACGTCTTGGAGACAGGCTGTACTTGAAGGTCTGGCACTCTTAGTGTGTATCTTGATTTAACAGTGTATGTCAACAGCAAAGTGGACAGATGATCCCATGATGACAGCTGTGTGCTCAGCCTCATGTCGCTGTGCATTTCACATGTAGGCGAGTGTGTTTACCCCTGTTAATAGCCTTAGCATGTGTTCAGTGTTTACATGGTGGAGGCGCTTGTTCAGACCTGTGAAAATACTTTTGTTTAACTTGGTTTTTGGTTTCAGTCGTGCATACTGCTGGCCAGACACCGATGCACAGAAAGTGGGTACACTATTTCAGATAAATCCAAGACAAACGTGTTAGGTACGTGATTGTATTCAAAACTTAGTTGAATAGATTATGTACCTGCCACATGTGTACATGCATGTCAATGGGATTTTGTGAACTTCTTTTTATTTCAAATCCCCCCACATTCCAGGGAAGTAGACAGTCTTCTATCGTTGGTGCAGTTGGAGTTCACATCCTTTCTGCACACTTTCCAGATGCTTTTGGGATTCAAACCAACAACCTGACAGTCACAAGACTGAATCTCTAAACTCTTAGCTGCCACATATCTACATGTGTGCCAACGTGTGTATGTGCTCATGCATGTGAATTTGTGTATGTATGAAAACGTGAGTGTGTACATTCTTGAACCCATGTGTTTGTGACTATATTTGAAGTTCAAGTTTGCATGTGTACATGTATGTCACTTTGTATTTATAAATGTGTCCAAACTCCCTGCCAATCCCTCCCCTCACAAACATCTGTTCATCTATTTTAGCTTGTCCAGTGATTTCTCTTAATGTTCTTTCTCTGTGTTCTCTTTTTGTTTTGATGTTGTTTGTGCAAAGCACGTTGAGCTGCATTCCGGTTACACTGCACTAAATCTAAACAGCCAATGGTACTCGACTTTCACTCTGGTTTTTGTGTTATTATTATTATTATTATTGTTGTTTCCCTAATAATTTACATATTATTAGTATCATTCAGTTAGTTACTGTTTGACTCGATTTTTGATGAAAATAAAACCCTGTAATTAAAAGGTCCTACAGTATCTATGAGGAACCACACAGGTTTCAGATTCATATTCTAATAATCACTCACAGTGAGCTGGGCCGGATCTGCCGGGTGTCCTGCTCTCCGTCGTTGCTGGTCAGGCTGTGTCTCGGGGTTCGACCCTGGCTGCTGCTGCTGCTACTGCTGCTGCTGTTACAGTTGGCAGAGGAGGAAACCGGCTGCTGCAGTTCAGCGACTGTGGCATTGGCAACACTGTTCTTCTTTTCACCTACGAGAATAAAGATAGATTTACAAACACTTTGGTGTTTTCAGCCAAGAAGATGTTGTCCACTGTTCTGCAAGTATTTTATACCGACATGCTTTTTTCCTGTTCCAAAACCGCACATCTGTTGACCACTGTGAACTATCTCTGATTATAAGCTAACGAACTCAAAGCAAAACTGACCACTAACAGCCTGTTGTTAATGCAGCCGCAACTCGTAATCGGGCCACGGGAGAAAAGTGGGGGGCCAACTGCCCCTTCCTCACTTACAACCCCACTACCTCCAGTGCCGTTGCTCAGACCACCCATCTTCAATAGCGGCCTTCATTTTGACCTCAACTACACACCTGTAAAGTTTCATGACTGCATCTTGCATGGTTGCGGTGCCATTGCTGTGACAAAATCTGTCTGTAGAAATATAAACACCTGGCAAAACACTCAAAACTGCTCTGTGGTAGTTTCTGTTTAGCGTAGCTGTTGCGTCTGATAACAACTAGGGGGAGGAAAACAATAATCAATCAATAAATTCTATTACTTTTATCCGGTAAAGTGGTCGGTTCAGCTCACCTTTCTGGGAATGTGTTGGTGTGTGGAACAGTGTGAGAGGCCTTTCGCTACAGGACGGGGCTTTGATCTCGCTGCTTCTCCTCCTGGACACGTTGAGTGGCAGGTTGGTCGGGGCGCCTGCAGAAATCGGCACGTCTCTGAATATCTGCACGGACAAAATGGACAGCCATATCTGAGCACAATTAAAGAAACAATATGTAGATTTAAAAAAGTAAATAGCAGGGGAAAATAACAGACATTTTTTTCTCATTAAAACAACATAAGCACGGCATGTTCTTGCTGCTACAAACAAGCAATGTATGGTCTCATATGTAACTGCAGGGAAATGTGGCACATCGTATCACATTTAGGGCAGAGACAATGATCACAATGTTGTGCTTAAATGTAAGAACATGTACACCCGTGAAAGATTGTGATATGACAGAAAAATAGCACTAAAAAAAGAAAAATTACACAATACAAAGTTCTGCAAAACTACTAGTGAGCCTATGACTCACTATATGCCAAGCTATTAATTCTTGTTATGTTTATCTCTGGTGAAAAGAGATAATAGGTGAGCTGAGACTGTATATCTAATATTAATTCCTGGATGTGTGCCAATGAATTGCAGCATTTTGCAGCAACAAAGCTGCGTGCTGCTGTATATAAAACTTCCTTTAACTGTGAATGATTAAATTTGTAGAAACTTAACAACGGGGGACGTTGTGGGCTTCAGCCTGTGATTTGTAGCACTGATCATGACTTTGCTGAAATGTGTTTCTACTCCCTGAGGCACAATTATGCAAAATGCAGAAAATACCATGCTGAGATAATATATACACACTGTGTTTCAAGATATTTACTCATCAATTACGTATATTGTTCAAACGTAATGTTTTTTTCCGCTATTGGTGCTTTGTTTGTATATTTTTATTGATATTTCAGCCGAAGTCAAATGTAATCATCCAACATCCAGTCATCCGTCATCACGTTTTTTTTCTGCTTTTTCAACCAGGTCCACACCCATTGCTTCACTCAAGACGGAATACGGAGGAAAAACATCCGATTGGAGTGCTGGAGAGCCCATTTAAAAACACACTGGATTTGATGTTTTGGTTGCAGAAAAGGGCAGTGAAATGTCATAGGCAGGATCACATGAAAACTACAAATGTTTCAGTACAGAACATGAGCACATCATGAATCTCGAGTGAACCATTTCAATACCATTTACACCAAAATTAAATCCTTTAATCTTACTAGACAGTTGAATTACCAAGAAAAGAGAATAAAAATGCTTTTTACTTCACACAAGCTTCAGGCTGAAATCAGAAAATGACAATATGATCATTTTATCTGGGGAGAGAGGGCAGACATGTGAAGTGCAGACAATCCCTATTCTACTGTCGTACAATAGAAGACAGTGACACGTGGACCGTTGTGGAGCTCTCTAAGGATTCAGAGCTGCTCTATCACAGCATGCACACACTACTTGTTTTGTTTTTTACACATTGCACCAGCGACAGCTGTGTCTGTCTGTAAAGCAGGGATGACATGCGGGGGGCTGTGTGTGACTTTGTGTGTGTCATTGACTTATCCTGTCTGTGTAAACTCATGCATCTACACAGGTGTGGGATATGTGCTCGGTGTCTGTGTGATCGTCTGTGTCCTTCACAGGCGTGTGCGTAATGTGAGGGTCTGAAACAGCCATGCTGATTTGTTTGTTGTCATAGTGAAACCTAGAAGCAGCTTGGCCAGCCAATAAGCTACTTGGATTTAACAGGGGAAGTGGCTTTGAATGTATATAGAGTACATGTAATGTGTGTGTGTGTGTGTAGCAGGTGCCCTTTCAGAATAGTTAGGTGCATTCAATGTTGTTTAAATGCACAATTACACAAAAAGAAAATCCCCTTTGACAAAGCCAAGCGGTTCATTTGGCTTTGTCTTATGTCATTCATTTGTAAACATGCATACATATATTATTCCTTCCTACCTTCTCGTGGTGCTCTATGAGGATCTCTACTACAATGTTCTGGAACTTGATGTCCATGATGGCGGCCACCGTCTCCTCCTGCGGCCGGAGCAGAGTTGGCCCGAAGACCACACCCAGATTGGCGATGGTCATCAGGTTCTGGTGGTGATGATTTGCCACACTGTTGATATAAATGAGTCCCATTTATATCAACGAGGGTAGGCTAAATAACAGATCAGCTATTTATTAAAAAAAAAAGCAATACAGTTCAATAGCACCACGAACTACATCTTCAAATATGGCCATAGAGTTTAAGCAACAACTGAACATATGAAGGTATGATCTTTGTAGTGTTAGACTGCATTAGTTGGGTGTGTTTACTGTGATCCAGCAACTCAACCTATAAGCCAGTGATGATGATATAGTTGACCGCTGGCAGGTGTAATGCACTAGGCCCAGCTAAAGATGTGCATGTCTTCACAATAGATATTTTTGCACTCGCCTACATGTTGTATAAACATGGCCGACGTCCCATTTGACACACATAATATCATGCTGCTGTTGTTGAAGAAAAGCCCTGTAAAGCCAGAGGGCTTAGATGGGATTTTGGAGTGAAAACACAATACCAGTCAGCTGTATTAGAGGAATAATTACACATAACCCAACTGTGCCATGCCCTGCTTTTTAGATAATGTGCTGCAGCAGCTTGTGGTTATGTAACCCACGGACGTGCTGCTGAAATGTCCTTGAGCGAAGCATTAAATTCCAAAAGGGTGAGTAGTATCCCATTATCTCTCAGTAAGCAGTTTTTACTGATGTGCAGGTCAAAAGACATCAAGGTTAAAACTTGGCTAAATTAGTTTGAAAGGTTTTTGAACGTGTATGTTGCATATAACATTGTTCCAACAGCATAAATGACTATTCCGGTGGGAAGTTGGGACCTCCTTGATTGAAATAGTCATTTAAATCAAATTAAAACTAAGTAGACTAAATGTATGAAAAACTTTGACTTCTCTACCAAACTTAGCCCAGTTTTAACCTTAACATGGGGACATTGTTTGACCTGCAAATCACAAAATGAGTCCTTACTGGGCTGCTTCTACATTTCCTGGCACAGACAGAAAGACCTGCACCTGACAGTTAACCCCTCTTTGCCTTGGAGGAATAAGTTGGGAAAAGGATTTGGCCTGATGGCTGCTGGATGGGCTTCGAAACAAACCGCCTTAATGCATGTGGTCAAGCGATTACACAGAGCCCTAACCCTCCTCGAGGATGGTCAAGATACGGGGTATGACAGTGATTACGGTGTAGAAACAGGAGAGGGCATGAATGAAAAAGAGAGAAGACAGTTCGCTATTGCTGTTAACACTACATAATATCTGCTAAAGCGATACACTGTGCTGTTTCTGAGGGGGCAACATTTATGATAAAGCATAATAACGACTGATTGCAGTTGTCCATGTGTGTGATATGTCATCCTACGTGGCCAGGTGTTTCATCAGCAGCTCCAGCATCTGTCTGTTCTTCTCAGGCAGCCGGTGCACCAGGGCATGGATCTCTGTCACCCTAGCCTCTTGGTTGTCCAACTCTGGAAAGATACATAAACATATTAAGAAAGACAGAGAGAGAGAGAGAGAGAGAGAGAGAGAGAGAGAGAGAGAGAGAGA